ATAGGTTCATCTATTGAAAGAATTCACTCTAGACCTCACACAGCAGGGACTATGGCCGTGATGCCCTGTCAAATTCGATTGGGAGTTTACTGAATCAGTTTCCGCGGGACTCCATGCGAAAGAATGGGAATTTGTAGATGTCATGGAGCTCCCACATACCCAATGAAAATCACAAGACGTGGTAGATGGATCAGGCAGGCCGCGTTCATACAGAGCGCCGCCGTGGCCACCGTGGCCACTAGCGTCTTTTTCGAGAAAGCAAAGTATACGTATCGATTCGAAAAAAACGCTAGTGGCCACGGCCACCGCGGCCGCCGCGGCCGCTGCGGCCGCCGTGGCCACCGTGGCCACTAGCGTCTTTTTCGAGAAAGCAATGTATGGGTATCGATCCAAAGACGCTAGTGGCGCTAGTGGCCACGGCGGCCGTGGCCTCCAGCGTTTTCCGCTGCGGGCGCACGCGTCGCGGCTCCTTCATTGGGACGCTGTATGATCAAAGACATCAACTACATCGGTTCTTTGCACTTTGCTAGCATTTTGCATGTCAAAGAATGACCTATTGTTGTTGTTATTGTTGTTGTTATTGGTGTACTAGTACTACTGAGTAAAACTGTGGCAGAACTAAGGAAATACTGCGCTGTTTTTGTGCCATAACTCCGCCGCGAAACATAAAAGCAGGTTTAGAATTTCGGGTTTGTATTCAGATAAGTATGAATGATGATAATGGGAATGTTGCTGTAGTACAAATGAAACCACAACATAGCCAAAAAAGAAGTTTGTCTGAGTATGACTAGGGAACTACTGGCTGTATAATAGAATTGTTCTTTCTTGAGCTCGTATCCCATACGTCCATATTTCTACGTCACTGCGATCTGAATGGGAGACGAATACAAGTAGCACATAGAAAGGCTGTCTAGCGCGGATTTTATTCATATCAAGGCGAAGGGAAGATCTGAAAGCTTTCCCTGGTTTCTGGGTGGGGTGGAAGTGGCTTGTGTAACCGAAAGACCTAGTCGCAGTTATTGGAGCGCGACTGATTTTTGATATTGCAGGCCCAAATATACATTGTACTCATCAGAAAGCAAACATTTTCTACTTATCAAGTTCGCGTAGTTCTGCCATCTAAGTTAGGTTTGAAGCAGCCCATGTTTATGAGAAATCAAAGGTTCGTTTCCACCATAAAGCGCTCGGTACCTTAGGACCGAGGCCGTATGAACACTTCTTTTTGTAGTATGCTGCGGTCCCGGAATCTCATTTCTGATCTGAATGTGTTTGAATAATGTGGACTCCAAAAAATTATGAAATATTTGAACAATGTGGACTCCAAAAAATATTATGAAAACGGGGAGAGCCAAGTTTTTTTGGAATAAATTTTTTGGAGTTCACATTGTTCAAACTTCTTATTGTAGTGCGTCATACTAAACGAGTAGCACAAACTCTTCATAACTCTTATAAACTCTTCATAAAAACAATTCAATAACATCAATAACAAATCAATAATAACAACAACAATAACAAAAACACAATCAAGTAACATCTTATACATTATAACACCACTTTAGACAATATATAAGGGTGATAAGGAAGTGATGACCCAATTTTAATCACGATGGCAATCACACAAGTGGTAATTCGACACGTCATCTTCTACGAATGGCTTCGCGGGACCGGAGCGACGGCAACCGTTCAAAACATCAACAGCACATTGGGAGAGGGCACCACTTCTCTTAGCACGGTCAAGCGCTGGTTCGCTCGCTTCGAAGAAGGAGACACGAACTTCGAAGATAAGCCTCGGTCGGGACGCCCCCACACAGTCGACGACTTCGCCATTCTCGACGCCGTCAAGGAGGATCCGGAACTCAGCACCCGCAGTCTTGCGACAAGACTTGGGTGTACTCAACCAACAGTCGTCGGCCGCCTTCACGCTCTCGGGTACAGGAAAGTGCCGGCACGATGGATCCCTCGATGGGGTGACTCGGGTTGCCATCTGTCAGTCACTACTCCTGCGCCCCCAGCACAAGGAGTTTCTCGACGACTTGGTTACTGGAGACGAGAGTTGGATCCTCTACAACGCCAATCAGCACCGCAGCATAGCAAAGGAGACCCGATAAAGACTGGAGGAGCTGGACTGGGAAACTGTCTCTCACCCGCCCTATTTCCCTGACCTAGCTCCTTCAGATTACCACTTGCTCCGTCCCCTTGAGGCTTTTCGGTGAGCGACTTCTTCGTCTCCCAGTCTTCTCAGTTCTGGGAGAAGGGGATCGCTGACCTGCCCATTAAGTGGGAGACTGTTGTCACTAATGATGGTGATTATATTGTTGAGTAGCTTGCATTGTATGCTGAGTACTAAAATAAAGCAGAAAATTTTTTAAATGGGTCATCACTTTCTTATCACCCTAATAGATGATTCCTCACAGGCCCTAGGAGCCAACTGCCTTTAACCCTGCGGTGCTGGATGCAGCATTGTTATGGTCGTTCCTGTAAAAAAGAAATCGAATAATCTCAAGAAAAATTCATTCTTTTTGGAGATATGGATCTCCGTGAAGCTCTTGAAGCTTTGGACTCGCTGGTGGAATTGGAGCGCGCCACCGAAGCAACCCAGAGTGAGGTTCGAAGGCCATACGTTCGAGCCGAGCATGTTCCATTTCTGGAATCACGGCTGCGAACGTTCGACGAGTATATGGCAGTGTGCAACACTCGGAATTTCACGCATTATGCCCGAGTGACTCCTCTGGAGTTTGCCAGGCTATACGAACGTCTGGCCAGCTCTCTACTCCACCGCGGGTCTCATCTGTCGCCCATATGTGGCCGTCAGAGACTATTTCATATTTTTGAGGTGGTGGCTATCTTTAAACGTACATCTCTAGAATTTCCTATATTAATGGGAAGAGGTTAAGGTTTGTGGGACACGGCTATTCCTTCGGCTCTCTTGCCGAAGAAGTCCATTGTGGGAAATCGACAGTCGGTCAGATTGTCTACGAGGTGGCAGACGCGATAAAGAATGGTGAGCCAATCAACAGCACGGAATTTATCTTTCCCTGACCATTTACTCTTCTCCAGTTCTTTTCCATGAAGCCTTCCCACCCTTCACGAGGCAGGACCTGGAAGAGATAGCCGTGAAAACGCAGCAGCGGTACGACTACCCGCGTGCTGTTGGATTCATGGACGGCAAGCACATCAGTATAAAGGTTGGAAAAGATTATGGACAAAGAAATTTCGATCTAACCATCACTTCTTACAGCAGCCGGCCCACAGCGGCAGCTTGTATTTCAATTATAAAAGGAGTTACTCCATCATCCTGCTCGCTCTGGTGGATTGCGATTACCGCATCCTAGCCTTCGACTTGGGGGCACCAGGGCGGGTAGGAGATGCGGGAGTTTTTATGAACTCCAATATTAAGGTGAGCTCTTAAAGGTGGCATAGGTGACTTATCTGTAAGGATGTTTTTCAGCGTCACTTGGAAACAAGGGACGATATATTTCCCCCAACGCGGGAATTGGGGATGGTAGGCCCAGTGCAGTACCACATCCTTGTGGACTGCGGCTTTGGGCAAGGATACCGCTATGTGCGGCCCTACTCGCAGGCGACTGCCAACACAGCGAGTAAGAGGAGATTCAACGCCAAGCATAGCGGGTAAGAGGCAGTAGGGAGCCTAATTTTCAGCTACTGAACTGACTGGCATTTAGTGCTCGAAGGATGGTGGAGTCAACATTCGGCATTTTATGCCGACGATTCGCCATCCTTCAAAACACCATGCAAATGGAGCCGGAGAATGCGCGAAGGGTGGTGACGTCACTGCTGGTAAGTAGGATCAATGCTTGGGTGCTCTGGAATCAGTGCTATATCGGCCGTTCTCAGGTGCTGCACAATGTCTTGACTAGAAGACAAGACACACTAGAAGTGGTGGAGCGATTTCCAGCTCCTGCACGCCAGCTTGACGCCCTCCAGGAAATGGACATGGGCAGCGGCTCAGAAGCGGGGGCGAGGGCCAGGGAACTCATCAGGGTTCACTATGACAATACTTATGGCCCCCTCGTTGACAACCAGGAGCTGCTCTCGTAACATGTGAGCTATTAGTGTTTTAGTAGCAGAAGGTCTCACTGAGTTCCGAACGGAAATCTTCAAACTCCCACCTTCCAAAGTTTGTACAGCATCATTTACTACTTCACACACGGCCACGTTATCATTGAAGAGGATCATCGTTATTTGATACATTTTTTGATCCGCCAACCGTGGATCGATCTCCTCTAGTTTCTTTGATATAAAATTTCCTTAAAGTGACAGTCATTAGGAAAACCTGCATCTACTTTGCAGCAACTAATTAACAGGGTCTCCACTCACCAAAATACCAGTATTTGCTATCTTTTCTATCATCACCGCTATCGTTTACTATAGGGACTTCTCTTCGCTCGACTCGCGCTTTAACTGCTGCTGCCGCGTCTTTTATCATGACAAGAGCCTCTAAAATAGATATTTTTTGTGTTCGCTCTTTTCTCTTTGCCTGCTATCGCCGCCGTACCTTCCTGCTTTGACTTCCTACCCTTTTCTTCCTTTGCAATCCACTTTGGACTTTCCTCTTGCTCTGGCTTATTGATTGGTTGCTGCTCGGTATAGCAAAAGTTTCCGTTTTCATCAATATTCGAAACTGTGGTACTGGAACAAAATGTTACAATTGGACCGTCAGACCTTTTCTGCTTACATACCTATCGAAATCGTTCTTATCCAAGAACGTTAACATCTCCTCCCATTTATACTTCTTCAATGCTGCTGAACCAGTTGCAGATTCTTGCCTCTTCCTTTTCCTCCTCCCGTCTTTAATACTCTTCCAGGCGGCTTGCGCTTCCGTCACTGCAACTGTTAACAATGTCAGCGATCCTGCGTCACAGATCCTTCGACAGACTGCAACTCACAAGTAGTATTGTGGCCTTCATCATGAAGAATATGCAATATTCTTTCCCACGCAGCTGACTTCCTACCTAAGTGATGATACTCATCACAGGTCGCATCCCATAGACTATGCTCAGATTCGATCAACTCCACGAGACGAACACGAAAGACTTCGCGGGACATTGCGCTGAAAGACTCACTTCAGATTTCACTGAACGGTTCATGTTGCTTGAAAAGCGGGGACCTGCATTTCATGTGCTGGTTTAATCGGGAAACAGACGAGAGAATTTAACCCGGCGCACCGTCGCGCGCGAGCATCCCATACACCATACTCTATGACTTCCGTACCATGTCGATCGGAATTCAGAGAGATCTCTTCATTCCCACATGATTCACCAATACAAAAGTCAACGTACTAATCTATGTGTATTTCAGGCAACTCCGTGCTCAAAGCGTAAAAATTTTCATCTGTTTTGCAATTATTTTTGAGTCTTTCGTCTTAATAACTTTTGGACCTTTCTTTCGAGTCTTTCGAATCTTTAAAGATCTTCACTTTCGGGTTACAACTTTTGAATAAAGTTTTGCTGTTTGTTTTTTCCCATCACATATTTTGTCCCAGACGACTTCAGGAATATACCGACTCTTTCCAGTCATCTAACAATGCTAAATGAGTTCACACGAAGAGTGCTTCACCATGTGCAGCACGCGGTACGCAATGGGTTAAAGTACAAAATAAGGTATTCACCGTTGGCCAATCCCCTTGGTGAAGCGGCGCGCATTCTTTTCCCATTCAGAATCGCAGTGAATTATTGAATGTGATGGCCTATACAATGACTCACGGAGGGTAAAAGATACACAATCCCTGTTTTTGTCCTCACAGATGAACCATCTATCAAATTACTATCCCCGCAGAGTAGAAGGCCTAAGCTGGAATCGACCCAGAATCGAAACCAGGACTGCGTGAGAACTAGGCGCGCTACTGGTTACCACTACACCACCTTCGCCTCATACAATGTCACTCCTACGGAAAAGATGGATATTGGCCTTGTTTCTCTGATAACGGAGAAACGCTACGGACGTTCTCTTGTTTTTAATGATGACCCAAATAGAAATTCAATGATTCGTAGACAGTGGGTCACGTTCGTATCTTGCAATACTGAAGAAACACTGAATTGGATAATCCGCCTTCAGAAAGGCATACGTGGCAATTCTGAGAATTGGCGAACCCGCATAAAAAAACTCGGTACGTATTGCTCGAATTGGATAAACGAGACTGCATAAACACGATCAGAAATGTCGGTAAGACAGGTAGTAATTCTGTACTTCGTCATCCCGAGCACTATTTCCCTTGGGCTTTTTCATAAACACTTCTTAACATAATGGAAAATGATACGAACGAAATCACACGCAAGAAAACTAACAGAATTGTGAGCGAATACGTCGCACAGACCGATTGAACAAGACTGTTTGGGGAAGACTTCATGCTAGGGTACAGCTTCGTTGGGCTAAACCTATAAGGAGTTCCTACTTGGTCGCCGAAGAGGCTGAAGTTCATAGACGCAAGGCCCACAAGCACCGAACAAATACCACCGATGAGTTCCACAAACTTATCCAGCGTATTGATCCTTCCAACCCTTGACAACATCCACTTACATGGACAAGAATTACTAGTCAGTATAAGTTACATCCTTCCACCGTCTCCACGTGGTAGCGCAATGCACGGCGCTACCTCACGTGAAATCGCCTCTCTTCACTCGGTTCAACGTATTATGAAGACATTAAAATTTCAAATATTCTATTCTTACACTGGACCGAAAGCGTTAAACTTCCGAGCGACTCAGAATCACGCCCATCAAAAGCCCACTTGAAATTCCCGCACCAGCTGGTCACGGAAGAAAGCTATAGCGCTTTTGTACATTGTTGTCCGAAGTATAAAAGCTCGCTTAAACATGCAGCCTATCGTCACATGCCTATTTCTGTCCTAATTTGCGCTAAGATCGAAACGAGGGGAAAAGCTTGCGGCGTCCTGCATCGTCCCTGTCATCGCCCGCATGTTAAAAGAACTTCACACAAGGCCTAAAAGGGGTGGACTTTCGCAATACCGTCACGTTTCCCTCCAGCAGTGACGAGTGGAAACGATAAATGGAGCCATAATGTATTGGGAAATCCATGAATCACCCACCAGACTATATTATATTACCTCTACGAAGTTGTCAAAGAAAACAGTACCTTTTGATTGTCACTTAATTCCACAACGCGTGCCTTCTTCGTGGGCGGAGGTGAAGTGGACACGGCTGCAGAGGATAACTCGGCCAAAATGGAGCTCATAAATATCCTCACCCCTGAAAACTATGAATTATCATAATCACACATAATAAAACAAAGGCTCTCAGTTTTCGTATCTTACCCAAGATGTAACGTTTGCGGCAACTAGATCGCTAGTGCGCGCTGCTCTATAGCTGGAACCAATCCGATCTTCTCAACGAGTCCGGAGAAATCACACCTGTACAGGCGTGCACCTTAAACAAGAAAATAAATATTACTGAAACTTTTGAACACTTGATTTTGCTTGAAGAAGGTGAAACAGAAGAGGAATGAGTTTCGGGGAAGGTAGCTGCGAAAGTCGACCATCTATCTAGTGAGATGTAATCGAACAAACAACATGATTTGAGAAATTGCTCGACACAGGTGTGGGTATCAATCTCGCGTTCGCGGAGACCGAGCGACCGTTTTCTGGAAGACTCGGCGTCTCCGGCATAGCCCGATAAAGGAATGGATGGCTTTCGATCGGCTACAGATCTCCGATATTCCGCAATCATAGCCGGTCCCTACGACTGTGGAATATCGGAATACCGACTCTCTTCAGCCGAAAACTATAAATGCGGCCTTACACATAAAGTTCTTCAAGATTGTTAAGACGCTCCTTTGAATTGTTTCTATGTGAGGATGGTAAAGCTGGGTCTGATCAGGGGAGGAGAAAAAGCTTCAGGAGATAAGAGCTCATCCTCTCGGATGTAGCAGAAAAAGGGCACTAATGAACTACGCCTACCCCAACGATTCCAAAAAAATTTTTTTGGCTATGAAACTACAGATGTGATACAATCACGCATAAAAATTCCGTTCCGAACGCTGGCGTCATTTGGTGCCATTATGCCAACTTGGCGGCCACCACTTTCTTCACCAAAGTTGATGAAAACACTTGCATATGGGGGTTAACTGAGGTCCTAATTACGAATACCACCAAAATAGCGCGTAATTCCTCCAGATGGCGCCAGAGCCAAAATAAATGTTGGGCTTTTAATCAGGACCTTAATTAACCCTACACGCAAGTTTTCGTCGACTTTTGTGAAAAAGTGGTAGGCGCCAAAGTGCTGCCATGAATGCTTGACCATCTTAATATTCACCATCCGGAGTAACTAAATTTTACTAATAGCGGCCCTGTAGAGTTCAGAATGAGTCGCGGATCGCAACAGTACCGGAAAATATCATGATTAAGATAGCAATATTAAATCAGAAGGACCTTAGTTCTCTGCAAAAGGAATAGCTACCTCGGCTCTTTTCAAACATGAATTGAAAAGACGTCATTTTCCCAGCAAGATAGCATTCCACAGCTATTAAAACAATTATTAATAGTAATTGTTTTAATAGCTGTGGAATGCTATGGAATTAAAACAATTATTAATAGTATGCAAGCAGGTGAGCTTACTTTTGAGGGAACATATCATGTGGTTACAATAAAATAAGCCTCAGCTCACTAAACAAATTTTACAATGGAAAACAGCAAAAATAAGACATTTGTGAGCACGGAAAAGCTCCCTCTTATGAATTCGAGCAGGCCAACACAAATTCAACGTCTCTGAAACATTATAGCGGGTTTTCGCGGTGAACTTTAGAAATAAGAAGCAAATGCAGCATTGTGAACGTTCCATTAATGAACGGATAATAAAAAGAAAAGAAAGAACAGAAATGACAGAAAAGAACAGAAAAATGACATAGAACGAGCGCACGTAACATTCATTCAACATATTGATTTTGAGCCGGGCGTCTCCAGCGTTAACCGCGACGCGTGCGCCCGCAGCGGAAAACGCTGGAGGCCACGGCGGCCACGGCTGCCGCGGCGGCCGCGGTGGCCGCGGCGCCGCGTCTGTATGAACGCGGCCTTTACGCGTTTAATCAAAGAATCAGGGCACATCGTTGTTGGGGAATCCCCAATAGGGAGAGGGTCGTATTTGGCCGCCAGGAGGGGGGGGTCGTATTTGGGTTGGGAAAATTCAATTTGATAGTTGATTTTTCACGGACGTTGTAAAGGGGGAAGGTCGCACTTGGTCATTATTGGGAGGGGAGGGGGTCGTATTTACGTTTTGGCGTTGTAGGAATGGTAGTTGAACTTTGGTGATTTTCCTGTTTCATGCGTTCTATGTGTCCCCTCTTCCGCTCGACAGCAAAATTTTCGGAGGAAAGTAGGGAACTTTTCGAGAAATTTTGGAAAAAAGTGGCAGGAAGTTGGGGAAAATCTGATAATTGGTAGGGGGGGTCGTGTTGTCTTGCGAATTTTCCTGTCTCACATGTGCTATTTAGCCCCCGGTCGACGGCTGATTCGATGAGGAGGAACAGAGTCTTTTTTTTGGGGGGACGGGTTGGTACTACCGGGGTGCGGACCCCCCCGGTAGTACCAACCAACCCTCCCCCAAAAAAAAAGAGGAGGGATCGTACTGACTCCACTAAAATCCCCAACCAGTGATGTGCCCTGCCAAAACATCCCTAGGAAACTATGGAAAAAATCGCCACGCAATGTTCACAGACTTTCCAAACTTTTATTACCATATTTGTGTTATGCGCACATTGTTTGCATGTACAGTTTGTCTTGTGTGAAGGGGCGATATCAGAACGACCCCTACCGACTTCAATTGTTGGCTCTAACGAAAAAGGGAAAAGGGTGAGGAATCAAACGATCTATAAGCGTTCGCAGACGCACGCGATTCCAGCGCTAATTAGCGCTAGACAGACTTGTACTAGACATCGCTGCATATTCCGCCGGAAATAACTTTTTTAGGGTGGTTCATTTGAGGAACGGAAAGCAGCATGAAAAACCAGTAGCGCTACTGCTACAATCTGAGTCTTTCCCTGCTTGAGGAATATTTTAAATGGTTTTTAAATGGGTTGATGGCCAATCGCATGCAGGT